GAAGAAATACAAATGATCAAAAGACACATGAAAAAATTCTCTACCTCTCTAATCATCAGAGAGATGCAAATAAAAACAAATATCATCTCACACCATAGAGACTGGCACACATAAAAAAGAACAAAAGCAAGTAGTGCTGGTGTGGATGCGGGAGAAAGGTACTCTCCTTCGTGGTTGGTGGAAACGCCAAGTAGCCCAGTCATTTCGGTAAACAATACAGACATTTCTCAAAAAGCTTGAATTTGAAGTTTCATATGACTCAGCAATACCACTTCTGGGAATATACCCTGGAGGCCTAAAAACACAATGCAGAAAATCCATCTGCACTTCTATGTTCATTGCAGCACTATTCACAATATTAGAACCTGGAAATAACCCAAGTGACTGAGAGCAGATAACTGGAAAAAGAAATGATGGTACATCCATACAATGGAATACTACACAGCCATCAGGAAAAATGAAGCCATGAAATTTGCATATTAATAAATAGACATGGAGAGAATCATGCTGAGTGAAAAGTGTCAGAGGGAAAATGACAGCTATGGAATGATTGGAGTCATTTATGTGATGTAAAAATAGTATAAAACTCAAGGACAGTGGAATCAAGGACCAGGAGGGATTGTGCACAACTAGAAGCTTTCCACTAGTTGTGGTAGTCGTAAGGCAGCTAGAATTGAGAAGGGTCCATTAAGGCAAAGATAGATGGAAATGATCACTGTAGCACTGTCCTCCTGTTGTTCATTGACTTGCTCGAGCGGGCACCAGCAATTGTGAGACTTGTTGTTACTGTTTTTGGCATACCAAATATGCCAGGGGGAGCTTGCCAAGCTCTGCCATGTGGGCAGGATACTCTTGGTACCTTGCCGGGCTCTTCGAGAGGGACAGAGGAATATAACCCCGGTCGGCCACGTGCAAGGAAAATGCCCTACCTACTGTGCTGATCATTCCTTTTTCATTTCCTTCCTTTCCTATCAATAGCGATAGGAAATGATCACTGAAAAAAAAACCTGAATTCTGAAAGTAGGTAAAGGGACAAATATGATAAACTTTCAATATATGTATTGCAAAACCATAATACCCAAAATGGAGGTGAGAGAGGAAGAGAAAGAGAAAAAAGCAAAGTCCCTGCCATAGAAGTAGGTTGGGGGCGGGAGAAGGTGGGAGGGAAACTGGTGATGGGACAGGTGATAGAACATTGTATGACTAAAACCCAATCATGAACAACTTTGTAACTTTTTCTCATGATGTCTACATATATATATATACATATATACATATATATGTATATATAGTGAAAAATCCACCTTTCTTCTTGTCCACTTTAGCACTCTGAACTGAAATGATTGCTTTTACTACACTGATAAAAAGCATTCCATATGCATCACATCCACGCTCATACACAATTTTTTGTAAGAGTACTGCTATTTATTCAGACATTGATTAGCTGATTGAAATGGCCATGAACTCCACCTTAATTTTTTTATTCATTTTTTTCTTTTTATATATATTTATTGAATCACTGTGGGAAAAGTTACTAAGCTTTCAGGTTTAAGTCTCAGTCATACAATGATCAAACACCTTTCCCTTCACCAGTACTCATTCTTCACCACCAAGAACCCCAGTATACCCCCCTCCAACCCCTCCAAATACCTGTGAGGCAGATGATTTCTACTTAACTCTTCTCTACATTGATTACACTCATTATTTCGACAAAAGATGCACCATTATTGTTTAGAATTTCCTGCCAAATAATCAGAATTTCTGAAAAGGCATTGTGAAATATTTTGTTTTCTATAGCTCGTTATGAGAATCATATAATGTCACATGGCCACGATTTTGGATTTATGCAAAGAGCCAGATAATTACGAGATTGGTTTCTGTGTTTATGGTGTTATGGCTGTGCCGGAGAACCGCTCGTGGGGGACAACTCGTGACCGCGATAGGGCATGAAGGACATGCTGGTACCGCCCCCCTTCCCATGAGACTGCAATTGCCCCGTCACCACCGGCTCGTACCTGGCTTTCCTATAAGCTCTGAGGCGGTGGCCACCTTGCTGCCAGAGGGGGAAAAGGCGGAAGGGAGCAACACCTTTTCCCTCCTGGGGTGGCATGGCACCATAGTATAACACATGGTCCATTCACTTTTCTGTTGCAAGCTGCTGGATTCTGGATTCAGTCCTTTTGCCTCTGGAGCCATGAGCATTCCAGAGAGCCGCTTGTGGGGGGCAACTCATGACCTCGGTAGGGAGTAAAGGACGAGCCGGTACCGTCCCCCTTCCCATGAGACTGCAGTTGCCCCTTCACTGTCGGTTCATACCTGGCTTTCCAATAAGCTCTGAGGTGGCGGCTACCTTGCTGCCAGGGGGGGAAAAGGCAGAAGGGAGCAACACCCTTTCCCTGCCAGGGAGGCATGGCACTGTAATTTAACGCATGGTCCATTCACTTTTCTGCCACAAGCTGCGGGGCTCTGGATTAAGTCCTTTTGCCTCTGGAGCCATGGCCATACCAGAGAGCCGCTTGTGGGGGGCAACTCATGACCTCGGTAGGGCGTGAAGGACGTGCCGGTACCGCCCTCCTTCCCATGAGATTTCAGTTGCCCCATCACCACTGGCTTATACCTGGCTTTCCAATATGCTCTGAAGTGTCAGCCACCTTGCTGCCTGAGGGGGGGGGGGGAAGGCGGAAGGGAGCAACACCCCTTCCATCCTGGGGAGGCATGGCACCGTAGTTTAATGCATGGTCCATTCACTTTTCTGCCGCAAGCTTCAGGGCTCTGGATTAAGTCCTTTTGCCTCGGAACCATGGCCGTGCCAGAGAGCCGCTTGTGGGGGGCAACTCGTGACCTCGGTAGGGCTCGAAGGATGAGCCGGTACCGCCCCCCTTCCCATGAGACTGTAGTTGCCCCATCACCGCCAGCTCATACCTGGCTTTCCAATAAGCTCTGAGCCAGCGGCCACCTTGTATGCAGTCCAGATGTATTTCTGTCAAAAGCCGCTGGGTTTCAAGATTTGTTTTTGAGTCTCTGGTATCATGGCTATTAATCAGCTTGATCAGGAGCCAGAGAGGCCATTTGTAGGTGGCTACTCGGGGTCTCGTTGGGATTGAGAGAAAGAGTCGGCTCCACCCCCATGTGGTGAAGCTCATGTGTCTCATCACTGCAGGCCCAAACCTGACTGTCCTGTGGCCTCTGGAGGATGGTGGTCTCTAGACTGCCCAAGGGAACAGGCCAAAGCACGACCTATTCCCACCTGGAGTGGCCCGGTCCCAGTAACATACTGCAGGAAATGGACGCATTTCTGCCAAAAGCCATTGGGTTCCAAGATTCGTTTCTGAGTCTCTGGGATCATGGCCATTAAGCAGTTTGATTAGGAACCAGTGAGGCCATGCCTCCAATTATATAGCTGAGCCGGAGGTGGTTTGTGGGTGTGTCTCCCACATACCTAACTTTTGGCCGTTTACTTTCTTGGTAAACTTTGCTCCAAGTTTTTGGGGTCTGGCCAAAGGCACAGCAGCAATTTTGGGGTATCTGAAAGTCTGACATTGCCATCAGGCTGCTGATGCACTCACCTCACAGGTACAGATTGACCTGCTGGCGGCACCATACCCCCTCATACACAATTTTTGCAGAAGGATATAACAGTATAAATTGTGTTCTGCACCTTATTTTATTTACATAATATATATTGGTAATCTCTCCACTTTAGTATTTTTGATTTAATATATCTATAGTAAGAATTGCACCTATACCTCAAATTTGGTGTGTTTAATCAAGTCTTTCTTGATACACATTTAGACTGTCTCCATTTATTCTACTTTTTTTGCTCACACCAGTTGTGCTCTGAACTTGTTTCTGGGTCTATGCTCAGGGATCACTTTTGATGGTGCAAGGGATCAAACCAGAATTCATCACAGGCAAAGCAAGCATTTTCACCCCTGTACTATATCTCCAGTCCCTATCTGTTCTACTCATATGAGATTATTGGAGCCATGAGCCTCTGTGAACACTATTTGTTAAAAATTGTGATAAGTAACTCTTAGTGTGCAAGAAACATCTTTGTTTATCCTGTGCACTTTTTAAAGTCCTTTAATGTGATAGAATCTTAAGTGGATCACCTACCTCGATTTTAAAAGAATATTTATATTTTGTTGATTGCTTAAAAATACAAAGGAACAACAGATGGTATTACTGTATGTAGAGAAATGTTTACTCATGTTTTAATCTTATATTAGCACTAAGAATTATGATATGGTGAAATGTTGTAGTGTTGTAAATGAGAATCCAGCTTGCTAACTTTCCTTTTTCAAACTGTATGAATGAGTATCAAACGCTTAAGGAGAGGGTTTATCTACACATATTCCAAGTACTTCTCACTGTAGTATGGTCTGACCTAACTTAAAATCACACAGCAGTTCCTCACCTGAAGTTAGGGTTAGTGAATTGTCTGCCACACAGAGGACAAAATATGAAAAACTACCAATTTTTTATGTAGGGAGAGGAAGGCTCTTAAAGGCTGAAGTTATAATTTTCTTTCTTTCATTTTGGTTCATGTCCTTGCCCCAACCATAGCACAGCGGGTAGGGCGTTTGCCTTGCACTTGGACAACCTGGCCTACCCAGGTTCGATTCCTCCGCTCCTCTCGGAGAGCCCGGCAAGCTACCGAGAGTATCTCCACCATGGGGAAAAGCCTGACAAGCTCCCCATGATGTATTCGTTATGCCAAACACAGTAAAAACTGTCACAATGGAGACGTTACTGGGCCCGCTCGAGCAAATCAATGAACAACAGGAGGACAGTGACAGTGACAGTCCTTTCCCCAGTGCACTCAATTATCCAGTGGACTTACAGGTTGGTAATGATGCTATTTCAATTTCTGAGGAAAAGGAAGAAAATGGTGTTAGATGCGGGTCCTTTTATAGATTTTCTGGGATAACAGCCATGAGGAGAGGAAAACTTGACCTAGTGTTATGCAGTGTTGAATTATTTGAACTATTCACACTTACTGCTTCTCTGTTGGCAGGCTGCCGGAAGATATCACCATCAGAATGTTCCCATGACAATTCTCCATCCCCTGTTTGTTCAAAAGAAACAACAAAAGAATCATACATACATAGAAGGGAAAAATATAACCCTTGTGACCCAGAAGCATTTTTGGTTCTATGATCTCAAAGTTGTCCAGACATTTTAGCTGTTGTGGCAATTCCTTAAAAAAACAACACTTAAAGACTTCTCTCTGGGTGTGCCTCATTTCTCAAAACAACTATGAAGAAAGTTGCCACTTTCCAAAATAGATCACCAAGGACCTGTCTTACAGATTTTGGGAAATAAAAAGAAAAATAAACACTTTCCACCTTAATAGAAAACATCATCATCATTTTGCTTATGTTATGGCAGTAACAGTTTTTTACAGGTCTCATTTAACTTGTATTCAACCTACCCTAAAAATCAGTTTTAAAAATATGGTCTGTTGTAGTTTGTCAATTTCATCACTACTTTTTAAAGAAGTTACCAGCCTGGTTTGAAATTTAGAGTAAGACTTTCAAATGTCCAAAATGCTATTTTTTCTTGAAGCACCTTTCTCCAGGTGTGTATACTTTCTCAACAGAAAATTCCTATCATGGAAAAAACAGATACACATATTTCTCTGCTGATAAAAGGAAAAAATTCAAGAAAAAAATACTTAACTTACTGCTTATATTATCTATACCAAGTATACAGATAGGAAAAGCTTGGTGTAAGAGATGTTTCATCACTCTAAAGGAGTACCACTTATGTTTATTTTTTTATATATACTTGAGAATAAACCCATTATTAATTCAACTAGATTAATTCATGGGATAACAAAAAAGATGTATAAGTACTAAATATTTTATTCTTCATCTCCCAGAATTTCAAAGTCTAAATAGTAACATGTTACTTGTTCAAGCTTGTGGTAATACTATTTGAGAAAATTAAGTTATAACATTGGATTTTAAGGGCCTAATAAAGACCTCAAAATTAGAGTGAAGGCAATTATATAATCAGATAGTGATATATAACACTATAGTTTTAGTTTTTACTAATTCAAATGTATCTTATGGGGAAAATTATGAATTCTGAAGGTTTAACTGGTTGCTATGTTAATTTTCCATAAGCACTAATTGTATAATTATACTATTTCAGAAGTTTCTGCACCTCAAAAGAAACAGTGGCCAAAATACAAAGACAGTCTACAGAATGGGAAAGGATATTCGCCGAATACACATCCGACAAGGGCTTGATATCAAGGATATACAAGGTACTGGTTGAACTCCACAAGAAGAAAACATCCAACCCCATCAAAAAATGGGGTGATGAAATGAACAGAAACTTTCTCAAAGAAGAAATCCGAATGGCTAAAAGGCACATGAGAAAATGCTCTACATCCTTAATCATCAGGGAGATGCAGATCAAAACAACAATGAGGTATCATTTCACACCACAGAGACTGGCCCACATCCAAAAGAACAAAAGCAACCGATGCTGGTGCGGATGTGGCGAGAAAGGGACCCTTCTTCACTGCTGGTGGGAATGTTGACTGATTCAGCCCTTTTGGAAAACAGTATGGAAGATTCTCAAAAAATTAGAAATTGAGCTCAATTTGACCCAGAAGTACCACTCCTGGGAATATATCCCAGAGAGGCAAAAAAGTATAGTCGAAGTGACATCTGCACTTGTTTGTTCATTGCAGCACTCTTTACAATAGAAAGAATCTGGAGAAAACCTGAGTGCTGGAGAACAGATGACTGGTTAAAGAAACTTTGGTACATTTACACAATGGAGTACTATGTAGCTTGAAAAGATGAAGTCATGAAATTTACAAACAAGTGGTACTACATGGAAAGTATCATGTTAAGTGAAAAGAGTCAGAAAGAGAGGGATAGACATAGAATGATTGCATTCATCTGGGGAACATAAAGTAACAAAATAGGAGACTAACACCCAAGAGCGTCTGAGATTACTACCAGGAATTTTACTCCATGGTTTGGAGGCCAGCCACACATGCTAGGGGAAAAGGGAGCTCAGATAAAGAAGGGAGCACCAAATAAAGGGTGTTGGGAGGATCCTCCCAGGATGGGAGAAGCATGCTGAGAGTAGACTATAGACCTAACATGATTGTCACTCAATGCCTCTTTTGCAAACAACACCCAAAAGGAAAGAGAGAACAAAAGGTAATGTTCTGCCACAGAGTCAGGGTGGGGCGGGGTGATAGGGGGTGGGAGGGATACTGGGATCAGTGGTGGTGGAAAATGTGCACTGGTGGAGGGGTGGGTACTTGATCAATTTATAACTGAAACCCAAGCACAAAAATTTGTAAGTCTGCAACTGTACCTCATGGTGCTTCACTAATAAAAATTAAAAAAATATATTTTGTCTCCCCACCCAGTTATATATATTTCTAGTCATATATTTTAAAATTGAACACAAAGTAGAATTAATCCATTATGTTTGTTAGAATAGAAGAGCAAAAATCAACTGAGATTTCTGTAACCGGTGAAATGAATAACAATAAACATTTTAAATGTTGATCTGATTATATAAAAAACATTAGTGAATTCCCATGTAATATTCTCTGTAATTAGCCCCCATCTCATATTTATTGAACACCTACCTACTACATAATTATGTCAAATACTATAATGGAAAACTTTTAACTTCCTTCTTTTCCATTAAACACATAGTTTTTGTTCTTGCTTCCATGTTTTATCTCTTTACTCATCTTAAATTACCTTCCTACTTCCCATATCCCAAGCTCCTTTATGCTTATAAAAGCCACTTTTCTCCTGTTCAAAGCATTCCTCAAATAATGAAAATATTTCCATTAAAGGGCTTAGAATTCTGCAGCCTTAGATATGTACCTGACTTTAAGAAAAACTTTGTCTAACTGCTCTCCTTATCAGATAGAGAAATTTAGGCTTAGAGAGGTTGAATTCCTACGTGTAACTGAGTCTCTAAAGGTAACTGTAATTCAAAGTTACAAAATGAATTAATGTATATTGAAACCCAAACTTGAGATTTATTGGTTCTCAAATAAGTATATACACTCCATAAGGCATAGTCATTATTTGTTATTTGTAGTTATACAGCATAATATATCACTGTGATTGACATATAGCAGTAACCCAATAAATAATTGTGAAATGACAAAACTGGAAGCTCTTCTATGAATACATAGTTAAATTTGTGAACACATAATTAAACCCCTTCTGTTATATATTTAAATAATTTTATTTATTTAGCATTAATGCTAATATAAATTTTGGGAAAGCATCTCTATAACTCTCTTTATATTAGCTTCACACCACCTACCACAAAAGTTCTGGTGGCATCTCATGATGAAAATTATTTTCAGGGAAACTGGGAACATTGGGGGATGGAAATGTGGAAATGTACACTGGTGAAATGTCGGATATTGGAACATTATATGACTGAAACCCAAACAGAAACATTTTTGAAATTGTGTATCTAGCTGTGATTCTATTAAAAATAATTTAAAAGGATAGTTTAAGACAATGATTGCATGTATATTTCTGTAAATTTTTGTTTAAATATTATTTTGTCACATGTTATATAAAAATACAGTGTAATTGAGGCAGAATAATACAATTTTGGGAAATGATTGCTGTGTCAATTAAAACACCATAATTTGTATCTTTTGGCACTTAGCTTAATTAAACTCTCTTAACAGTTGAAAAAAATTTAAAAAAATTGACAAGTAAGAAAGTTTAAGGAATATTAAGGGTCCATATTTGATGATTATACAGTTTTTTGAAGAGTTTAATATATATTAGCAATGTAGTCATATTAAGTTTTTTATTTGTCTTATGTTAAAACATTAATTTCTTATTACGATATTAGCTGGAGTATAAGATATATAAATATACAAAACTTTGGTATTATAAAATATTATAATCATAGACTTTGTAAATAAGATAATATTCCATAAGACTACAAGGAAATTATAAGAATATGCCTCAAAAATTATTTCCTTCTTTTACTTCTTTTTCTGGTAACTACCATTTTTCACGGATTCTGAGTTATTTTTGCTGTTTCTTGAAAATTCATTTACTTTAATAATTCACAGCACGCATATAAGTAACACATTGGGTAAGTATCTTATTTCCTGACTTATTTCACTTCGCATAATCACCTCAAATTCTATCCATTTTTTGTCCTAAAGTTCATGATTACATCTTTTTGAAAAAATAGTTTAAAAGTTTATTATAGCTAAGGATCATGTGTTTACAATAGTGTTGACATTTATGGTCTTGGTGCCGTTACCTTACCTCATCAAAGTTCCTAACAATCTCTACCTGTGCATCATCTTTTCCACCTATTCCTGTAAACCTAAAGTTTTCAGTTTGCATTTTACTTTTTTAAATTTCTAAATAGTATTCTGTTGTGCTATTATCCACTAAAATTCACTTACAAGAAGAATTTTTTCCTATGTTATTCACTGAACCTGGAATAATACGAGGTATGTAGTTAGTACCCATTCAGTATTCATTAGATTATTGAATGAATACTGAACATTAACTATAGTTTATGCTGTTAAATATTTTGGAAGACAGCCTTTTCTCCCTGAAGAGACTATAAATCCCTTGAACCATAGTCTATATCTTAGATATTTCCCATATCTAAAATTTAAACTAAAAGAGGAGGAAAGAAAGCTATCTGTGTCCTTGCCCTCAAGATATTTACAAGGTGGAAGTAAAGGATATTAATACAAAAAACAGCCTACACACAGACACAAACAGCAGCATCTTGAAATACAAATGAAATTTATGTGTTTGGGTGATATTATGGAAGGAATAGTAATACATAATCAAGGAAGTCTTCCAAAAATAACTGTTAATAACTGTTAAGAACTAATATATTGTAGAAGCTGATATTAGGGTTATAAACAAAATGTTGAAAAGAGGATATTTCAGCCAAAATAATGAGCATTTACAAAGCACTCTCCCTTCCTTCCTTCCTTCCTTCCTTCCTTCCTTCCTTCCTTCCTTCCTCCCTCCCTCCCTCCCTCCCTCCCTCCTCCCTCCCTTCTTTTCT